TGAGGAAGCAGGTGGCAGAACATTGACAATTTCCTGGACTTCTTTTTCATCTGTTGTTTCTGGTGCCAACGGTTCATTTTCTTGTACTTGAATTTTTATACCAGATTTGGGTTTGAACTCTGGAACTTTGATTTTACTCAAAATTGCCTTGAAGTAATCCTTGTCGGTTTCACCTATGTAAGGAATGATGTTAAATTGAAAGGCTTATCCATGATTGTATGAAGATATATAGAGGTTCAGTAGATACCTTTGATATTATAATTAAATGCATGAAGATTGGCGGCTGCGATAATATAGTCTAAGTGTGTGTCCTATTGAATAATAAATAATAGAATGATGAGTCACTATTCCCAATAATGGTTTTTAAAGTGCAGATATTTCAGTACATACATCATTATAGTCGAAGACCAAAGGATCAGGCGCTCTCTTTGGGCCTGACCAGAATAAAGTTCCCGAAGATGTAACCTACATTGAACCAGTAAACGGCTTAAATTTATCCGAAATTACGTAATGGATTACTAAATACAGTATCTTGGAAAAAACGTACCGAATCCCTTGGGAAGTTGAACAAAAGCTGCTGAATATTATTATTAAAATACTCTTCAAATCGCAAACGAGCCCAGTATATACACTCTTCGAAACGTGACGGCTTGGCTGTAACCAAAGAGGTCTTCACGCTCTCTAAAATTTCTTTAGCACTCGCACCTTGTTTTAACGTCTGTTCAACAAAGTTTGGCTCGCTTAAATACAAATTTGCATTCTCTGCAGGTATACGAAAGAGTCCTTCAAACAAGTCACGAGCCCACTGGATAGTGTGCTCAATGGCATTGGGAAAGTTTTTGAGTGTGCAGCTTGGGAAGGATTTCTCCGGCGGATCATGGGATGAGGAGTAGGATTCTGTTAAATGTGGGATAACTACTTGGGTGTTGCCTTTTGTACCAAGCGTTCCGGATTCAAGAAGAGGTTTTTTAAAGTACACACAGCGGCGGTCCATGTATTTACCTTTATAATGAAAGTTACGTTGGATTATGAGAATGGTATTGAAATAGTAGAATCCGGACACTGCAAATCATTATATTAACTTACGAGCATCAACGTTGTCCAAGGCGTTAGTAACTCCGTCAAGTTCTTCGAAAAATTTGTCGTTATAGACATCTAAAGAAATAGAAAATATAAATCAAGGTTCATTTATGATTTCAGGAAATGCAGAGATGGATCAAATTACATACTCTCGGTCTCCGCTCCTACTCGGTCCTGATGTGCAACAACTTTGTTGGTCATGTCTGGGTTCATCGTTGTAATCACCCTCGCCGCAGTCTCTGATTTTAAGTTCTGTAGTAAACAAAGCGAATGCCTTATAAATATATATGTTACGATGGAAGTAATCTATCCAATAGACCAAGGTACGTACGCCAACATCATTAGGACGGAATAAAAACTGTCGATTCAAGTTACTCTTTTCAATCGAGTCCATATCCGTAACATGAATGATACCACGAGGTCCTGCACCTAACCCCATCATTGCCCAATTCTTCAACATTTCACATCCAATTGCGCCAGCGCCGACCAAAAATTCGCGGAAGTTTGTAATCTTGTTATGGAATTCTCTACCAAAAACTGCTATTTGGCCGTCATAACGGCTTCCTATCTGTTAACGCAAAACGTTAGCTTTGTGACTTTTGTACGAAACGTTATCATTCTATGAATTGTGTTTGATTCTTACAGGACGACAGGATTCCTCGGTAAGGATAATATCATTGGGCAATGATTCTAGAGAATCGAAGTACATGTATTGATGTATTGGATGAAATTTCCCGCTGCATGCTTTCAAGACCTCTTGTGCGACTAATCCTCCAAATACAGCGACCATCGGAGACAGGTCACCAGTTGCACCATATGCAAGTTCCTTAATCAGCTTTCCCTCGATTTCCACTCTATCCTCCCGAACATTGTTAATGGATTTCGTTATTTGGTAAACCTCATCAGCGTCGGCTTCATTGTGTGGGCGTGGAAGACGGCCATGAATATCAGCGAATTTATGAAGAGCCTGAAACCCTACGTGCAGTTGTGCTGGCCGATCAAATTTAGCAAAGTCAGAAATGAGATATTCTGGGTTTTCCAGTGATTCTCTTAATGATTTCTACATGGAAAAAAATGGGTTTACATCAGGAAAGGTGTTTGAAACACAATGAAAACCAAACTAGCTTGATGAAATTCTTCAACTCACAAAATCGATCCGTTTTGGCATCTTGACTTCAGTAAAGACACCGCCATCGATGTAATCTCCAAAGTTCGACGTGTCAACACCAATACTGAATGTATATGGACCTAATTGCAAACGGCTTTCGGTATGAGTAACACGTTCCGTAATCGTGATTCTGCAATTAGGGTCTAAACGTACCAAGGACTTTAACTTTTTTTGGTTCGCATTCGTTCAGCTCTACCATCCCCTTGATTTCAGAAAACGTAACGTAGGTGCCATCTTCCAGACCGTGTCGCGTCTCGTCAAGGCAGGTTACTATACCGTCAGCTTCTTTGGAAATAGCAGCTATCATCCCGTGAAGTGGGTTCTCTCCAGTGGCGTCGTTCACATTGAATTCCGGTCCGAAATCGTTGAATACAACACTTCAATGGCATATCAATAAGTACGTGGATACTAGCGCGTAAAAATAGCCTACAATAAGTAACCAACCCAAAGAGGCCACGAACGTCGGTGGCAATAAAATGTATCCCGTTTGCATGAGTGTAGTCATTGATTTCTAATTGTTTCTTTAACGGGGTATCTGTCAAAACAACAACCTACAAAACGATAAATCAATTTTGAGTAGACGATACATAAGAATAGTACATTAACACCTTTGATGAGAGTAGTTTAAGAGTCGAGTTACGCGAAGGGGAATATTCACCTGAAAGCTGTGGAGGTTATTTGGTGTAAGCTCATCTTCGAGCACAGATACGGGAACATATTGATTCAACTCGGCCAACCGCGGAGCGGTCGTCGCTGCTCTCGGCCTACCAATGTCGTCTTCTCTGAGGAAAAACTACTCGATAATCAAGAAAATGCGCGAGATATTTAAAATCCGTATGACCTCATTAAGAAACCCCCTTGACACGAATCGGCGAATAGCTCACCTGCGTTGACAAGTCGGAAATCTTCACAGGTTCTGGATCATACAAAGTCACACTCTTTACACCAGCCAATACGATGTTCTTAGCTTTGTTGGGGAAAGACAATTTTTGCAGATTGATTACAATCATATTCAGCCGAAATTTCATTTTACTAGCTGGTTAACCACTTGTTGACAACAGTACAGACCTATCTCTACACCAAGACCTTTCAAACCAACAATGAGGACGTTGGAAGAACTCATTTTTTTCATAGCGTCATGGCCCAGTACATAGCTACAACATATTACTCGAACGTTACCATTGCAATAAGCGTCGGCAGGCACAAGCATTCGCTTCTACGTTTGCTACTTACAGTTGACGGGAGTAAAGTCCCTCGTCGATTGTAGGTTCTATGCCATCAATAACCATACTTGTTGTCGACATTTTTTGTAATCGTCAAGTTTATGGCGTAGTTTTATTTCTAAATAAAAAGGCGGTTAAGATCAACGAATATGTGGAGAAACTCTCCGAACTATGACATTGCCATCATGTTACATATATTTTACCCGGATGCGATTTTCGTCGTGGCGTAGCAGTATCGACGTAATTATTGCCACATGTCTAAAGCGGAGCAGATCCCTCGCAATTCCATTGGTCAAATTTGTATGGCAGCCAATAAAACTGCAAATACAGGATCACGTTCTGCTCCGCTTTAGCCTTTCCCCAAATATTGATCCATTATTGTATTCATTTCACCGGCAAAAAACCAGTACTAGTACTCGCTCCGAAAGTCGTAACTTCAGGCCTGATTTAATATTAATATTAATGGTGATGTTGATGTTAATTACGATAGGAATTGCAAATAAATCACATGCTACATGTTCCCATACTGTGAATTATCGTTTACTTTCTTAGCTCACTCTGTCTAAAGTCTAAACTTTCCTTGATATTATTAAAATTAGTTAAATTCAAATTGTACTTAATATTCTGGGCCAGTTTTTGCACACATATCGACAATAGTTATCAGGGTTCCTGGTTGTTGAGTTGGTATAATTGAAGTTCGAGTTAGTTCAGCACCTTTTCCTTCAAAGGATTTGGTCGAAGACTCTAACGGAATAATGGAATAACTCTTACAGTGGAATAATACCTATACGATGGAATAAATACGATGGAAAACAACTAATAAAATTTACGATCAGAAAATATTTAATTGACGTTCACTGGTGTCTCTAATGATGGATATTCAGTCTAATAATCTCTAGCGTCGACACTGCTGCAACTTATTTAAGTTTCAGTGTCGAGGCTTAACCCGTTGTGCGAACGATTAACGACAAAATCCCAGCAACATCCTTAACGATTATACCTAACAACGATAACAACAAAAACGCTCGTACAACAGTATAAGTATGCTATTAGTAAGTCAGAGTTATGTGAAACAATTCTTACATGACACTCACAATCTCTTTTTAAAACATTTATTTTAGGCATGCAGGCCTTGTCTGTTTGTGTGGGAATGCAATCTGAAAGAACTTAGTAATAGAATAATAGGCTTTTTAGGTACAAATTCGGTGTAATTTTGAAATACTTTATTCATCTCCAAGTTTTCTGAGATTTTATTGCATTCCTAATAAACTTACATATGTATGTAAATGGTGTATTTTTTTCTATATGTAACCCTTAATGTAATTTTGATATCTGATTTGATTACTATTGGGCTTTCTATCACTGTAGAGTATACACCTTAGGGGTGTGCGATACAGATGCGGAGCGTAGCGGAGCATAGATATCTTTTAGAATGCTAATTAGCATTCTATCGTTAAAATCAATGACGATTTATTTCGTTTGGTGTATTTTTTTTTGTATAGCATTTAACTTTCTTGCCTAGTTTAAGTCTCCGAAAACCATTATTGATAACTGTATGGGGGTGCAAAGCACCCGAAAATGCGAAGCGAAGCGGAGCATTTAGTTAGCATATTGCTTTCTTGTCTAGTTCGAGTCTCCAAAATCCATTCCGATCATGAACAAATGAAGTGCAGTGTGTTATCAGGGCGGAGCATAGTTATCATATTTGATCACTAATTAGCTTTCTATTACTGTGAGCATGAGCCTTTAATATTAGGTGAATATAAAACTTTTTAAGTACACGGTGGCGTTTTTTATGATGTATTTTTATACACGTCACTCGAATGATGATTGTATCACCCACATGTGACATAATGTATGCTGATTTAATAGTCATGACTGTTTCGACGACAGAAAAAATAATGCGTAAATCTTATATCCAGTTATGCTATATATGTATGTAATCGGGTCATGTTATTGCGAGTTTGACGACCTGGTTGCAAATATGTCATCATTTTAAATGTGTATTATATTTGATTACCTAAAGATTTGTATTTAATATAATAAAAAATGTCTGGTGAATGTACTTGTCTATTCCCACATAATCCCGATGAAATTTGTGAAAACATTTATTATTATACAATACCTGAGGAATGTAGTCATTGGAAAGGTGAAAGAATAATACCATGTATTAAATGTGGAATACCACTTGTTTCAACCCCTGGTCGAAGTCCATTGCATATTAGGAAACACTATATTAGACTCCGATCAATGGTACGAGAAAAAATGGATGCCTATAAGTCACGCTTGCATGCGATGTCTGATTATGCTAACA